GTGTGTGAGTGTGTGCACCTCTCCGCTCTACCGCTCTGATACACTTCTGTACAAATGTGGGGATGGTTGTGTGCTCTCTGTGACACAGTGTGTCCAGGTGACATCCGAACACATTATCTGAACCAGAGAGAGAACGTTACAGACAAACAGTACGTGATGGAACATGTGTTCTATATGTTTGTTTAACACCTCTGATGTATCCTTTCTCTTTGACGCTTTGCAGCGTCGGCCGCCGCTGGAGGAAGCGTCTGAGTTTGGTCCGAACTCGTCTCTGCTCCGAGTCGACACCTGACGAACCCCTGGTGGCTGAAATCAAGAAAAACACCCAGGGTCAATATCAATGAATCTGATTGGTTGATGAACATTTGAATTGTCTTGGACGTTTGTTGTTTTGTTTGTTTCCTGTTATCGTGACAAGATTATTTTTCTGTTGATCAAATTCTCAAAAAGTTTGAAAGTGAAGTCAACTCACACGTCCTCCTGCGCTCTTTGTCCTCTCTGTCCGACGCTGTGTCGTCCTCGTCCTCCGTCACCACATCGATATCCTGAATCAGATCAGATCCTAGATGTCATTACACCACTTCTTCTGTGAGTGTTAGGATATATTGTGTTTGTGTTCTGTTGTGTCTGACGCTCATCCTCCGTCACAACATTGCGTTCCTGATAAAATGTTGTTGTGTTTTGTCGGTTTCTGTTGTGTGGTGTCTGTGTGTCTTCCTGTGGTATCTGCGTGTTGTGTAGTGTGTGTGTCTGTCTGTGTGTCATGTGGTGTCGTCGTGTGTTGTGTACCAGTTGTCTGTGTGTCGTGTGTGTTGTCTCATTTCATGTCCGTGTGTCGTAGTCTGTGTGTCGTGAATGTGTTGTGTATGTGTCGTCTGTGTGTTGTGTATGTGTCGTTTGTGTGTCATCTGTGTGTTGTGTACCAGTTGTCTGACGGCGTCCTGGATGACTTTGAGCCAGTCACTGATGATGCTCTCGGTGTCGTACTGCATCAGGAACTCACAACCCTGTCGAGTCTTCAGCTTTAAACAAACACAAACAAAAACCACAAACACTATGGTCATGCTGATGTAACTATGGTAACAGAGACACAGAGCGTCTGGGACAAACTGTGACCATGGTAACGAATATGTGGCGGTCCAACAGATGGTAACCTCTAGAACGTTCTTCTTTGAGGACTTGTCTTTGGCGGCCCAGCTGACTGAAGAACCTCTCAGGTCCACCGTGTACTCTGGAACAATCTGTGACGCTTTACTCTGGAAAACAGAACGTCGGCTTAGTTGATACATTTAAAACAATATATTTTGGTCTCATCATTATCCCTTTGAAAAAGGTTTGTTAACAAAAGCGCAATGAATCCTGGGATAGGTCGGCCCTGAGGTGGATCCAGCCTTTGGAAACTTCGTTGCTCAGAGATGAACAGACAAATCTTCAGGAGTTTTCAATACATGACATATGAGAACCTGAAGAGGGCGTCAGATCAATTATGACCCCCTGCCTCAGAGTCTATAAGGGTCATGGGAAGTTCAGGAGTTGTACATGTGAACCTAATGCATCATGTGACTCATAAAGTGACATCATCGCTGCTGAATCTCAAACCTGCATGATGACGTGTGAAATCCAGTGAGTGTTCAGGTGTGAAACTGGTTCTTACAGCGTTCCCAGTCGGAGCAGACTTGGGGTCTCTGTGGAAGGTGAGGATCCCACCATGCAGTACGGTCCAGGACTGACTCCAGTTCTTCCTGTCCAACAACAAGACAGTCAGCTGCAAACTAAATATCACCCTGATGTTAAAGTAGATCTAAAGAGAAGTAAATAACATTTCTAAATCTGCTTTCAACCATAAAATCCTTCCTGCAGTTCTACAGAGTGAAGACGTCACAGACAGACTGAGGCTCAGAGTTCTGCTCTTCTGTTCTCACCTGATCCTTTTGCCGTTATCGACTACTTTGGTCTTATTGATGATTCCTGCTTTCTCCAGCAGATGGCCCTATAGACACATGACAGGTCAGTGTTGAAATGAGACTTCAGAGTGTGTGTGTATGTGTGTGTGTGTGTGGATCCCAAGTGAAGTCAGTAATTGTTCTCTAGTATACCTAGAATCTCCCAGGACCCCTTCAGTAATATACATACAAAACAAGTCTCTAGGACAGCTTTCTTCCACCTGCACAATATTAGGAACATTAGAACATCCTGTCTCAGAAGGAAGCTGAGAAACTCGTCCATTTGTTTTCTAGACTAGATTAACTCTTTATTTTCAGGACGTCACAGGAAGTCTGAGAAAAGTCTCCAGTTGGTCCAAAGTGCTGCAGCAGAGTGCTGACAGGAAGTAGAAGGGGAGATCTTATTACTCCTGTCTTCTCTACATCGGCTCCCTGTAAAATCCAGAAGATCAAGATCCTGCTCCTCACATTTAAACCTTAACAATCAAACCTTCATACGTCAAAGAGCTGATAACACCGTGTCATCCAGAAAGATCAGTTCACTACCAAAACACAGGTTCTCCTGTGGTTCTAGAGTCWGTAAGAGGAGAACAGGAGGTAGAACCTTCAGCTACCAGGCTCCTCTCCTGTGGAACCAGCTCCCACTCTGGGTTCTAGAGTCTGTAAGAGCAGAACAGGAGGTAGAACCTTCAGCTACCAGGCTCCTCTCCTGTGGAACCAGCTCCCACTCTGGGTTCTAGAGTCTGTAAGAGYAGAACAGGAGGTAGAACCTTCAGCTACCAGGCTCCTCTCCTGTGGAACCAGCTCCCACTCTGGGTTCTAGAGTCAGACACCATCTCTACATTTAAAGTTAAAATGTTCCTCTTTGATAAAGTCTATAGTTCTGGATCAGGTCCTGAACCATCACTTAGTTATGCTGCTATAGGTCTAGACTGCTGGGGGAACTCCCATCATGCACTGAGGGAGAACTCCCATTATTCACTGAGCACTTCTATCTCTCTCTCTGCTTCCACATTTATCTATTTTTCTACATGTCACTTACTTTGTGGTTTCTTCCTTCCATAGCCTCTCTCTCTTTTGGAATCTTGTGTTGACCAGTATATCCTCCCCTTAAAAACACAAACCTTTCCAGGACCCACATATAATCCTCATGGAGCCTTAGAATCTAGTGGTGGACTAGTAAAACCTCCTCAGTGACCCGACAAAGGGCCCATGTACCCTCCAAACCAAGATCCTCCACATGGACGCCCTAAAACCACGATCCACCGAAATTTAATACTAAAGTCTCCTAAAGAACTCAAATAAGCTCCTCTAGTTGCCTTTCAGAGACCAGGAGAAACTCCCTAGATCCTACGTAGACTTTATGAAGTGCTTTGTCTGCTGAAAACAGATCGACTGTCAGACTCAAAGTCTGAATTATTCATTCTTGTTCTTGATTTTGTCAGTCTTGATCCAAGATGTTGACGTCAGTATGTGGTCTCTGCAGTATCTGGTTTGAGGTTCCTGCAGTTTTCGAGTTCTATCGACAGGATCACAGTTGGTTCCTGATCTGATCCTGTCTGAGGTCTTTACATCAGTCAGTTGTAGGATCCCTGAATCCAGCATTGTTTGGTCTCAAGAGTTAGATAACATTTTAAAGCTCAAACCAGAATCAGATTCCACCACTAACTTCTTCAGATTTGAAGAGATAACATTCTGACCTGCTGGTGGCACCAAAGGAAAAGACAGAGGATCAACAAGGTCAGTGTCTGAACCAAGATTCATGAGAATTCATTTTGAAAACCACGCTGGTAGCATAGCAACAACCATTCAACTATGATCTATGAATAATAAGTGGACGAGACTAGTTTCTCAGAACATTCCACCAGGAGAACCACCAGCATGAGAACCAACAGGAGAGCCAACAGGAGAACCGCCACAGTCAACCTTTGTCTCAGAATAGTTTTGACAGAGACAACCCCACAGACACCCAGCACCCAGTGGCCAGTCAGGGCCCAGGACCTACATGCAGCTGGTGGGAGTCTGTGCTCCGAATGGACAGATTCCTCTTCAGTCTGTGCCTATCAGAGAACTTGATGAGGAAGAACAGGATGACATCACAAGGTGTTAATGACACAATAAATGAATAAATGAGACAGGTGTGGAGACAGGTGTGGAGACAGGTGTGGAGACAGGTGTGAGACAGGTGTGGAGACAGGTGTGAGACAGATGTGGAGACAGGTGTGAGACAGGTGTGAGACAGGTGTGGAGACAGGTGTGAGACAGATGTGGAGACAGGTGTGAGACAGGTGTGAGACAGGTGTGGAGACAGGTGTGATTACTTGTGAACTGTCGGGTGAAAGTCTTCTATTCGACACCTCAGTGACGTCAGAGATGTTTCTCCTGTGACCGAGAGCAAACGTCTGAAACACATCAAGCAAAACACAAATTCAGTCATTGATGAAATTATTGATTCAGTCAATGATTGGCCAGTTTGTTATTTTCTACATTTGAGTCACTCACGTCTTCGGCCACACTGTGTCTCCAGCTGCTGACCTGCAGAGTCGTTCCCTCCTCAGAAACTCCATTTCCCGTCCTCCTTGGGGGCTGAAACCATCAATGAATCATTGGATTCATCAGAGAAAGATCCAGAGCGTGACCTGATCGATCTATTGATTGATTGATTACCTCCTGCAGCTTCCACTCCGAGGAGTTTCCAACTTTCAACTCCATCTGAACCCTAGGAATTAGACCCGCGGGCTGCTGAGGATTCTTGAAAAAAATTGACAAACTACAGATGAAATGTGTGTGTGAGTGTGTGTCTGTGGGTGTGTGTGTGCGTGTGTGTGTGTGTGTGTGCGTGTACCGTTGTAAACGCAGTGTCGTTAGCTCCCTCTAAAGGATAATCTTCCTCTGGCAGTGGAGGCTGAAGTTTAATGAAAGAAACAAGAGAGTTTGTTCTTTGGTTCAAAGGAAATAAAGTTTACGTCACATCTAAACTTCCTTCAGAAACGCTGCCCTCTTGTGGTGATGAAATAATTTGCAGTCAGAGTCTGCGTATCAAGGTCCCATACATGCTCTTGGCCAATTCTGAGTCAGCCTCAGTTGTCAATCATCACGTCTCAGCCTGTTTTTATATCATCAAATAACTGATTCAAACCAAACTGATCAGAAACATGAACAAACATCAGAGAGAGAAGAACGAGCTGAAATGACAGAAACATCTTTGACAAACATTTATTTCACCAGTCTGGTTTCAAGGCTGTGACTGCCCTAATGCTGTCTCTGTGCAACTTCACACTGCTAGCAGCCTCTCTCTCCTCTGTCCTCATCCTTCTAGACCTTCCTGCTGCATTTGACACAGTGAACCACCACATCCTTATTTCCTCCCTTCAGGATCTGGGTGTCTGCACACCAACTGAAAAAAATTTACCTTGACAAGACCAAACTTCTTTTCCTTCCCGTCTCTCCCCTACTATTACTTTAAGCAATTCTGTGGTAGCCCCCACCCAGACTGCTCAGAACCTGACACTCCACAGTCAACTGACCCTTACTGCCAACATTACTGCAACAACCCGCTCGTGTAGATACATGCTGCACAACAGGAGAACACGTCCCCTTCTCTCTCCGAAGGTTCTGGTCCAGGCTCTGGTCATCTCACGTCTAGACTACTGCACCTTCCTCCTGGCTGGTCTACCTGCTAGTGCTATCCGACCGCTGCAGCTCATCCAGAATGCAGCAGCTCGACTGAAGTTCACTCACACTCCTCGGCTCTCTTCACTGATTACTTACTGGTTATTAGTGGCTGCATCCGTTTCTTGTAAGTTGCTCTGGATAAAAGTGTCAGCTAAATCAAATGTAATGTAATGTTTTTTGACGTCTACTTTAATTTTTTTGTTTAGTCCATGTCCCATCTGCTAACATGGAGAAGGTTTATGACCTATACTGCAGCCAGCCACCAGAGGGCAATAGAGAGGATTAGATAGAGTGGTCTGCTCGAACTTTATTGTTATTAGTTTTATTCTGGCGTCTTATCGGCATCATACCGGGCTGTCGTCATGCTTCCTGTTGCTTGGCGACCACAGGGGGGAGGAGGGGGAGAGTGGCTCAGGTGCAGTCCAGGATGTGGCTCGTGTGGTTAGGTTGAAGTAGTAAAATCTCCCAGAGGCTTCGTCCAGTAGCTGCTCCCAACAACAAGAACCCTGAGAGAAACCATCTTAGTAGAGAGGACACAGCTCTGCTCACCTCAACTGACTTGACTTCAGCTATCTAGACCTAACTAAACCTCACTAGACTTCTCTTCAACTAACTAGACTTCTCTTCAGCTAACTAAACCTATCTAGACTTTAATTCATCTATCTAGACTTCTCTTTAAATAACTAGAGTTTACTTCACCTCACTAGACTTCTCTTCAACTAACTAGATTGTACTTTACCTATCTAGACTCTACATCACCTAACTAGACTTCTCTTTAACTAACTAAACTTTACTTCGCCTAACTAGATCTAACTAGACATTCACTAACACCCATGGAACCAGTAGTGATTGATATCCACTCTACGAATGAACAGGTGACTGTACCTGAGAGGAAGCGGGGGAGAGCAGCTGTGAAGGGGAGGCCAGTGCAGCAGGGGGTGCTGTGGAGCTGTTGGGGTCGGTCCAGGTCGTTTGTCTCGTCACAGGATGGAAATAAAACATCTTCCCGCTGTCGTTGTCCGTGTGAACCTGAGCAAAGAAACCAATCAGCTACTGCGGCATTCAGGTGCAATCGCGTTACAATGTCAATATACCTGAGTATAATGACAATAAAAATCTTTGAATTTGAATATTTCTACTGTGTTTAAGTTTATTTGTTAATATTGAAAAAAAACTTCTGATAAATGTATTTTAGTCTTTATTTTTCAGAAATTGAAAACAATTTACTTCTTTCCATTTTCTCTCTTTTAAACGTTCCCGTGACCAGACACTAAACGTCATACTATTAAAAATGACCTGAAGCTAAAACTGTGTGAGTCGTGTTGAAGTGTCTTTCAGCAAAGCAGCGAAGTGTCACCTGCGCTGTAACTGGACCTGAACAGCTCAGGTGACATGTGATGAAACTTTAATCACCTCAATTCAACTGAAAGTTAAAGTGTGAAATCAAATCTGATGAGCGATGTTAAAGGTTCAGGATGAAGAGGAAGGAAAATATGAACCACATGACTTCCTCATAAAACAAGATAAAACACGGTCAGATACAAAAACTATGAGAATTAACCACACACTGATACGTAAAATCAAATATTTTAATCGAATTAAAAAAAAGTATTAGTGTCTTAACCACAGACTGAGGTCGCCTCACCTGCCACTCATCCTGCGGGCTAATGGGGGAGGCGGGTCTTATTATGTCAGAGGAAGAGACTGAAGAAGAAGGGGTGTGGCCTGTGGGAAAGGGGGCGGGCTCGGTTGGAGGTGGTGGAATAAGGAGGTCGTGAGAGTCGTGAGATGTTTTCTTCACAGAGATGTTTGCATAGATGGGTGAGTTATGGCTGAGCGAGCTGTGGTCCTGTGAAGAGAGAGAGCTACAGTTACGGGTTCAGTGCAAAGGATTTAATGACATCTAGTGGTGAAGTTACATGTTACAACAAACCCTCACAGAAGCTATAGTGGCCTCAGCTGACGCACAGACATGTCTGCTCTGTAGAAACAAGTCGTACTATGAGGAGGAGGAGCCTGATGAAGATATAACAACTCACTCTAAGTTTACAAGGACACAATGATGCTCAGTGTCAGCTGATCAAACGCAGATGACATCAACGTGATAAAATAATTTTACATCTGTGATGACTCAGGCGAAATTCAAACTGAGCCATGTGACTTCAGGTTGTCCCTGAACATCACACAGGACAGACCACATTACACCATGATCAGGTGTCTTCTCAGAATATTTGACAGAGGTCAGAGGTCAAACCCAACAGTTCTACAACTAAAACAGAATTCCTGTCCCCTCAGCTGACCACAGATCAGCGTTTCATGCTGATGGTTGAGTTCAGGACCTGTGGACTTACCCATAATGCCTCTGTGATATTATGGTCAGGAAGTTATTGTGTCAAACTGAGACTGAAGCTGCGTCATGTTGTCTCCCTGAAGATCCCTTTGTAGCCCCACCCCTTATTACCTGTCGGGCTGGAGACTTAAATGATCACAAAACCTGCTTCAATATTCACAAACAAACACACACACACACACACACACACACCGTTTGGGGGGACAGGTGTCAATGTCTCAAAGCTCTCACACTTCATTCATTCACTTCACTTTATCTGAAACTGCCACTAATCAATGGTTTCTGTGACTGGTGACCAACTGTAAAACTTAAAAAAAACCTATCATTCTTATTGTTTTTGTTATTTCATTCGTTTTCCAAATGGATTTTTTACAGTGCACGGAGAGAAGCTGAAACATGAGACATGACCGAGTCTGGGCCAAACCAGTCAGACCAGTTCACACATGTCTCTCAATAGTTGTGAGGACACTCATTGACATAATACATTCCCTAACCCTAAACCTAACTCTAACCCAAACCTAGTTTTAACCCTAACACCAAAACCTCCAACAGCCCTTTCAGTTTGTGAGGACTAGACAAATGTCCTCACAGCAATGGTATTTAACCAAATATGGCCTCATAACTATAGATAGACATACATACAGCGCATACAGACACACACACATAGGTGTCAGATAGTCTTGTCCTGCAGGGGTCGCTGCAGCATTGTCCTCTCACAGTTTCCTGTCCTACCAAGAATACATCCTGCCAGCTGTGACATCACTACATCCTGCTGACCTCATCACATCCTGCTGTGACATCAGCAGGCAAACACATAGCTGCTGTTCTGAGACGGGCAAATTAGACGAGATTAAAACAAGATCTGCTGATGACCATGTGAACAAATTTACCAGCTTGCTTTGTTTGCATGGAGATTATTTTTGTAGTTTGAACTCTGGTATCACTATGTCACCATGTCTAACCCTATCATTTGTCTCCACCAACCAGAAACCAATAGATAACAGGGCCACAGTGAAGTTAACCTTTGACCTTTCAGATAAGTCTAATCAGAGCAGACTGCCTCAGGAAAAAAAAAAAAAACTTTAAACAATCAGAGCCTGTAGAACCTTAAGGTTGGACTGTCCAACACCAGAGTCTAACATCCTGTCCTGTTTAAGATCTAGCATCTCAGGGGTCTTACCTGTGTGGGAGGTGGGGCAGGTGCAAGTTCAGGTCCAGGTCCAGGACTCACTTTTTTTCCAACCAGAGACTCCAGGTCCAGGTTTAGGTCTTGGATGGACTCGTAAATGTGGTTTGAATCTTGCACCTTCAGTAAATCCTCCTCCTCCTTGCTGCTCTCCTCCACGCTCATCTCGTCCTCTGCCGCCTCCTCCTCTGGCTCCACCAGGGCATCCTGGTTGTCAGGGAAACTTTCAGACAGTGAAGATGTGCTTTGAATATTGTTATTGGGGGGGACTACGGGGACCACAGGGACCACTGGCATCTCTACCGGTATGGGTTGGCTCTGGGGTCGTGATACAGAGAGCGGGTCTGCTGGACTGAAGGTGGGAACTCGAGGTTTGACAGAGTCCTTGTGGTCATCCAGGCACCCCAGCAGGTGGGGCTGTTTTTTGTTCAGACCACCATCTGTGATGTATGTATTCCTGCTGGTTGTTGCAATCGCAGTCTCTGCAGGACCAGCAGGAGGGTTGCTGGTCTGAACCAGGTGCGGCAGTTCATGAAAGTCCAACGGGACACCAAATGTCGACATGCGGTTCTCTGTCTTACGGTACCCAGTAGATACATCTAGTTTGAGTCGGATCGTCACCTCATCCCCTTGTTTGATTCTGTTCCCATCAGGTTCCTCTAGAGTCTTTGGAACAGGAATGGGCACTGGGACTGGTGCAGCCACAGGAACCAACACTGGCTCAGGATTGGTTGGATCATCAAAATCCAAGGGGGAGGGGAAATCCGCTGGCAGCTCCTTGACGTACTTGGCAGGAATGTAAAAGGGCTTAGAGCTGCTGTCACGCCGAACTTGCCACCAGTGGTCATTGGTCTTTGCTAGCAGTACATATCGCTCATTGGGTTTGATGGAGACCAACAACCCGTCCCGACCCTGGTACTCATACTCAAACTCTACAAGGACCAGACCTAGCCCTGAAAAAAAATTGTCCAGATCAGAGGATCAGAATAATGAAGAACAGTGTGAATCAATAGGCATTAATGCTAATGCTAACTCATGCTGGTGCTGCTAACATTACTATGCTACTTTAAATACTACTAACATTACTATTTTATCTGGACTATTACTATCTGGACTCTTGTAAAAAACATGGCTGCCTCCGTAGAGAGGGTCCTTTCCTGAAGAAAATCTAAAGTATTTATTTATAAAGGGCCATTTCTGGGGTAAAGAAAACTACAATTTGTACAATTTAGATGAAACAAAAACATCATGAGGATTATTCTATATTAAATTTCTGCCAATAGATTCCTTTCACCTGAATCTTACACACTGCACCTTTAAAGGTTTATTTTCTATAAAAGGTTAGACTGTAATGTTATGAAAAGAACGCCTCAACCTTTAAAGGTCCAGTGCGTAAGATTTAGGTGAAAGGGATCTATTGGCAGAAATTGAATATGACATAATCCTGGTGATGTTTTAACCAGTGTGTTTAATCTTAATTGTACATTTGTTTTCTTTACCCTAGAATGGGCCCTTTATATTTAAATACTTTATATTTACATGGAGGGGACCCTCTCTACGGAGACTGCCATGTTTTTTACATTAGTCCAGACTGAACAAACTAAAACCTTTAGAGTTTTTATGACAACTGAAGCTGACACAGGTTCTTTTTCATGTTTGGAAGGAGAGGGGGAGGGGTGAGGGGTGTTCAGCTGCAACATGACACTTCAACACTAGATGTCACTAAATTCTACACACTGAACCTTTAACTAACATCACTACTGTTGTGTCTAAAAGTTTAAAAAACAATTTTAAAAGAACTAACCTCTGCCAAGCACAGAGGTCGCTGCCATGGTAATGACCTTTGGCTCCTCAGACCACACCCCCTCAGGTAGTTGGGCAGGTGACTCTGACGACGAGGGGTCAAAGGTCACACCTCATCAGGAGCCCCCTTAAAGAGAGTACATTGTGATCAGGGCGGATTCATTAGAAGATGTTGCGGTGGTGAAGAAGACAGGAATCAAACATTCACAGTATCAGTGAAGCTGATGACATGAACACAAGTTAACACTATCTGACTGGAGACAGGATTTAATAAACCTGAGTTGATTAATCCAGACTATAGCCTTGTGTCAGTGACATTGTGACAACTGAGCTGATGTGAACCAGAACATTTATCCGTCCACATTCTGGAATGGACACAAGTTCACTTCGGCTGGTATCCGTCCCAACACTGACCAACAACTCAAAGGTTCAATCCTGGTTATGGCATGGTGTACGTTAGTATTGTTTGTTGTGTCATCTACGTTCTGCTGGGCAAACAACATCTACAGCCGGCACAAACTTCTCAAGATCAGTTTTAGTAACGAGAGAAGCGTAACAACAGATTTTCTCCGTTTCCACGACATCCAGGCAGACATGGCTAGGAGTCCCGGCTCCCCATTGATTGACATCCCCACGAGCAGGCGACGGAGACGGTGAAGGGAGAGGAAGCAAAAGTGAGGCTGCAGGGCTACGGAGGCAGCCCGCTAAACCATCGCTTCCCAGTATTTTCCTCACCAATGCCAGATCCCTAGTCAACAAAACCAATGAACTGAGGCTACAGAGTGGGTCCCCGTCTCTCCACAGCCATCAGCCCCTGTACTGGCTCACACCATCGTCAAGTTTGCTGACGACACCACAGTAGTGGGGCTCATTTCTGGGGAGGATGAGTCCGCCTACAGCAGTGTTTCTCAAACTTTTTCAGACCAAGGACCACTTAACCCATAAAAAAACACTCACGCCCACCTTACTCAAAATCGCCCCAAAATGTATTGTAATGGACTGATAGTTTCGTGTTGTTCCCTGTTGTCACTGTTATCGTGTTGTGTTCAGCTGTTTAGTGTCGTTGTTGCTGAAGCACTGTGTTTTCCCACATCATTGAATGGGCACGTGGCCGTTTGGAGCAATGGTGGGGTGGGATGGCATGGCTGGTTCCCCATTGGCCGGTTGTCAACAGGTTGGGACGTGAATGAGGAAGTGTTGGGGGTGAGGTTCAGAATGTTCTTTTGGCGTGGTCATGGCCGACAGTAATCTGTTTAAGTTATAGAAAATAAAGTGGAGATAAAGAGAACTGACGTCTCGTCTGTCACACCAGAACGCTACAGTATGTAGTCGATGTGGTATTTTTGTTTCACCTTTGCGGTGGATTTTTCATGTTCATGTCGAGTTTGCGGCTGGGTCTGCTTTGACGACGCCTCTGGCGTTACACCATCATCCTGGGACCCGATCCATTTTAAATTCGAAGCTATATTTTTTATTTTATTTTACATACTAGTTGATTTGCAGGCAGTTTGAGAAACATTGACATTAAAACAGTGACATTTAAAATTTTAAAACACGATATGTTACTTGTCACCTCGCGGACCACTAGGGGTCGCTCACGGACCACACTTTGAGAAAGGCTGGTCTACAGGGATGAGGTGGAGCAACTGTCAGCGTGGTGTCGAAACAACAACCTGCTCCTGAACACAACTAAGACCAAGGAGCTTGTTGTCGACTTCAGGAAAAAGACACACAAAATCCGGCCACTACACATCAACGAGGTCTGTGTGGAGAGGGTCTTGGACTTCCAATTCCTTGGGGTAAACATCAGCGATGACCTGATCCTTGGACTGCACACTGCGGAGCTGGTGAAGAAGGCCCAGAAGAGACTCTACTGTCTGAGGGTTCTCAGGAGGAACAACATCTCTGAGAAACTTCTGGTGTCCTTCTATCGCTGCACAGTAGAGAGCGTCCTGACCTACTGTCTCTGTGCATCAGTCTCCAGCTACACAGCAGCACAGAGGAAAGAGCTCCAGAGGGTCATACGTGCTGCCCAGCGGATACTTGGAGGTCTTCTTCTGCCACTTGAAGAACTACACAGCTCCCGTTGCCTCAAGAACGCTGCAAGGATCCTTCAGGACCCCTCACACCACGGACATGGACTGTTTGAACGTCTGCCTGCTTCAGATCCATAAAAGCAGGACAAACAGACTAAGAAATAGTTTTTACCCATCAGCCGTTACATTACTAAATGCTGCTAGATAATCTACCTAAATCATCACCATGTGAAATACAATCCAACGTGCAATACATCATGTGCAATATTTGTGATAAATCGTTCCAAGGACAGAACCTCTGCTGCTATAGGTCTAGACTGCTGGGGGAACTCCCATCATGCACTGAACACTTCTCTCCTTCTCTCTGTCTCTCTGCCCCCCCAACTCATTTGTTTATTTTAATACATGTCAATAACTAAACAATAAAATAACAAGTTTCTATTCCTCCCATAGTCTCTCTCTCCTCTCTCTCCCCGTCCTCAGAATCAGAAATCAGCAGAGATGGTGTCTGACTCTAGAACCCAGAGTGGGAGCTGGTTCCACAGGAGAGGAGCCTGGTAGCTGAAGGTTCTACCTCCTGTTCTCCTCTTACAGACTCTAGAACCCAGAGTGGGAGCTGGTTCCACAGGAGAGGAGCCTGGTAGCTGAAGGTTCTACCTCCTGTTCTGCTCTTACAGACTCTAGAACCACAGGAGAACCTGTGTTTTGGTAGTGAAATGATCTTTCTGGATGACATGGTGTTATCAGGTCTTTGACGTATGAAGGGTTTGATTGTTAAGGTTTTAAATGTGAGGAGCAGGATCTTGATATTCTGGATTTTACAGGGAGCTGATGTAGAGAAGACAGGAGTAATAAGATCTCCCCTTCTACTTCCTGTCAGCACTCTGCTGCAGCACTTTGGACCAACTGGAGACTTTTCACAGACTTCCTGTGACGTCCTGAAAATAAAGAGTCACAGTAATCTAGTCTAGAGAACAAATGCGTGGACTAGTTTCTCAGCAGGAGACAGGATGTTGCTAATGTTCTTAATATTGTGCAGGTGGAAGAAAGCTGTCCTAGAGACTTGTTCTATGTGTTGGTCAAATGTCCTTGTCAAACATAACTCAAGGTTCCTCACAGTGGAGCTGGAGGACAAACTGACACCAAGGTGACTCTGTTCAGACAGTGATTCTCTGAGATGTTGAGGGTCAATTACAACGACCTCAGTCTGAATTAGAAGTAAGAAGTTCTGGCTCATCCAGGCCTTGATGTTCTTGAGACGTTCCTGAAGTTGAACTAAGTGATTAGATTCATCAGGCTTCATAGAAATGTACAGCTGGGTGTCGTCTGCGTAACAATGGAAGTGTCTGTGGAGCTTTCTCATGATGTTGCCTAAGGGAGCATATAGTATAAGGTGAAGAGTATCGGTCCAAGGACAGAACCTTGTGGAACTCCATGACTAACTTGCATGTGCATGGGGGGGGGGGGGGGGGGGGGTCATTGTTGACGTTAACAAAACAAACGTATTTATCTGTTTCACTCGTAAAGTCAGAATAAATAAGAGTCAGTGAGAACACAGAACCCGAAAGAGGAATGAGAGTTATGTGTTTCTCCTTCATGTCAGAACAAGTCAGACTGATCCCGACTCGTCTTTTCACAGAAGGTTAAAGACTTTCTCTACATGTGAAAGATCTTGACACAACTCCAGCAGTGGAGGGACGTCCTGTATCACAAGAGTAACTTCAAACTCATGCTTATGGGGCTAAATTCAAGACAAAATTTTACAAAATAAAACATGTTTTACAAAAATACTACCATTCATGTACAAACAATGTGGTTTACAAATAGTAAACTTCATTAACAAAACACACCTGACAAACAAATACACTACTTGTTTCTAATAAATGATGCAAACAAATAGCATTTAATAATTCTCCCTCCAGGCCACAACAGCAGGTGGCTGTTGTTAAGTCCAATTCAGTTTCCACAGATCTAATAGAGGCAGATACATTTTATATCCTGATATCACCAAGCAGGAGCAATCTCCTGTATCGTTCCTTCTCACAGTGTGGTTGAATGACTCTGTTGCTGAAGTTGCTCTCCACTGTTTTCTGAAGGGGATAAGCAGCATTCTCCCCAACACTTTTAGACACGACCTCGAGCTAAAGCTGGAGGACTGGCCACAGAGTTTACCTGTAGTTTTCCCAGACGCATTCGCAACAGCAACAAATCCTCCGCAGTATATGTTGCTGTTTTGATAGTCAGCCAGGGGGTGGCGCAAGTGGGAAGAGCAGGAGGCAGGGGGCGCGGGACATGATGTTAAAATCCAGCTGCGGAAACTGCAGTGTTTATGTACATATCCAAGATGGCGGGAGACAACATCACTTACTCAGCATTGAGGTATTTGGGATTATCAGAAAAATCCACCAAGAGTTGAAAGCGAGATACAGGTGAGCAGAAAGAGCAAAGAGCAGCTACACGTCGTGCACGGAGATGAAGACCAGAGGAAGAAAGCTGCAGCATTGTGGTTCCTCGTCCAGCAGCACAGTGAGAAGCCATATGGAAGCACAAGAGACGGAGCAGGGACATGTTCTGGTCAATTGTCTACGTGTACGGCTCCTCTTATTCATCCTAAGATATTTGTATTCATCACGTTCGTCACGTGTTAGAAACCTCATCAACACTTCTACTCGCTTACTGTGAAGTTTCCAGACATTTTACTAGGAGGCCAGAAATTGACAAAAGGACAAACAGTCACATGGTTCAGTGGTAAAGCTGATACATGTTGTCCAGGAGCCTCTGAGCAAGGCATCTCACACACACACACACACACACACACACACACACACACACACACACACACACACACACTAATACCTCCTATATGAGAACACTCATTGACAATGCATAGCCAATGAGTGTTGGCTATGCATTGTCTGTAACTGAAGGTTAGTCACAAAAATGTGCTCACTCTCTAAGTGGTCTTCACAAAGATAGATGTACAAGTACACACACACACACACACACACACACACACACAATAGCAGGAGGCAGATCTCCGACCTTTCTATTTACAAAGGGAAGTGTCTGCTCTTCCTGTCTGCTGCAAAACACCCCCCACAAGGCTGTGTGGACTCCACCCCTCAGTGACATCACAGTGTGTGTGTGTTTCCTGTCTTTGTGTGTCTGTTCTGAATATTTCTCCCACACTGATCTATCACCTATAACTGATCAATAACTATGATCTGATAATGTCCACTGCTGCTTGAGTCGTCAGAGGTGGAACCTGAAGTTTCTGATCAGATGACAAACACTGACTGAAACAATATTAGTGACTGGCCCTTTAAGAGTGGCTCTGAGTCACACACATCTGATCCAGGTGTGTTTCAGGTGTGTTGCAGATCTGATATGCTGGAATGCGGCCCCCCCCCCCCTCTCTTTCTCTCTCTGTTTTTCTCTGCCACACCCACACCACCAGGCTGGTATGTAACACACACACACACACACACACACACACAAACACACACACTGTTCGGCCGCAGGACTGAAGTGTGTGAAAAAATAAACTGAACTGTCAATCATCAAACCGAGGTCAGGCGCCTGTGGCAGGACACGCCCCATCGACCAATCAGAAGAGAGGAAGAGTTTAAAGGAGAGGCTGCCTCTGCTGCCCACAGGGTGTCGAATGACATCATAAACCCAACAGCCACTGTTTTTCAACAAGAGTGTTCAAAAAAACCACAGAGGAACATTCAGAGAACGCACAGCAAATCCTCCTCTGCCATTGGCTGTCAGCCGACGGTCAGCATCAAAGATCTTATTCCCGTGGTCATTAAACTGCAGGTTACCATGGGAATAGTCCTGATGCTTCATGCTCTTTAGCAGAAAAGTCCCTCAAGTAATCCTGGAACCTCCTCAGAGACCATCAGGAACCCAAAGACCTTCAACCTCCATGATCTCCTCCTGACCTACATTCAATCTACACAATCAGTTTTTGTGAAAAGAGTCTGAATCGTGTTTCTTTAAAGTGTGTGTACAGAATGCGTCTTTAAATTCTGTAGGGCACTGATTGTACAGATGTTGTAATGTGCTCTTCATAGTACAGTGTTTGTAGTTCACAAGGAAATAAATACTTGTTGTGTGTCCATACAAAGTTCTGGAACCAGTGTAAACCAAACTACTGCTGTAAGAAAAGTTTTAAACTTTTATCCTTATTCGTTATTTAACATTTTTCAGACTTTTCAACACACGAAACCTGCGAGAGTTAATTTCTGTAGAGCTAAACGCATTCAAGCCAACAACACACAACAGACTTTCACCCTATATGATTATAGAGTCCCCACCCATACTGTGGGTTTAACGAACAGAGAACTCAGTTTCTAAAGTTAAAAGAAAGTTTGAAGACAAAAGAGTTTTACCTGCAGTGAAGTCCAGATCCACTCATCCTGTTTTTTCTGTTCTGGTCCTGAAGGGGTGAGTCCAAGTCACACAAACAGGTTCCTCCTCTCTCTGGCTCCGCCCATCTGTGACCTACCAGTCCCATCTTGTTGCACCAAGCCCCCCCCCC